TGACGCCTCACACGTCTGTTAACCTGATGAGGCACCTGGTCAAAGCAGACCGGAACGCCTACCAAGGCATATTAATACCCTACTCAAGCTCGATCCCCCATGCCACGCCAATGGCAATGTCAGACGCTACCAGAAGTACGATCCTGCTCCCTGCAGGCAGGCACATCATGCAACGGTAATTCTCACTATAAAAACTCTCGCGCACTGAGGGGAGGAGAGAGGCACAAGAGAAGCAGAGACAACTTGGCTAAAGAAACCCCCATGACCATCCACTAACTTGATCGTCGGAGGGGTCGGGCCGAGCTCCCCGACCTGACCTTTGTGCAAGTGCGAAGCCGAAGGTCCCCACTTAACGCGCAGGCGAGGAGTTCTTGCCTGGAGGGAATAGCGACCTCGTCCCAATCAGAACACCGTAATTGGCCACCTCAGTAGTCGGGAGGAGCATCCCAGGGAGATCCCCATCATCCGGACCCGAACCAAGCCGCATCAGCCCCGAGGCCACGGTTTAAAGTTGTTTACACCAACATTTTGGCGCTAGAAGGAGGGCCCGAATGTCGAGGGATCACCCGATCGACTCAAACGAACCCGCAATTGAGGGGTCACACCCGATTGGGGCTTCAGGGGAACATCCCCCGCATGGAGATCTTTGAGACGAATACCCCGCCACGACCTCAGAGCGCTATTGGCGGATATTCAGCTACCCGGGCTTGTCGCCACCCGACGGCGCCCCTGCCGACCCGTCGCCCGTGTCGTCCGAGGCCTTTTAGGACCTCGCTCATCAAGTCCGATCTCTAACGGGTATGGTGCAAACCATTATCCCGCTCGTTTCTCATCTGATGCACCCGCCTGCGATTCAACCACTGCGGCAACAGGAGCCGCCCGTTCGGGCCCACACGCCATTCCGGAGCTCTCTACTTCACCTCGGGTCCGATCGGCCCCACTCGGGGATCGAGTGATGGAAAACCCGAGCGGTCGCCCGAAACTTGAGGCATTATCTTCGGATTCAACGGACTCCCTACGAGCCCAGCTACGCTTTGTTAGTCAGCGGCTCGACGAAGTGGAGAAGGAGGTTCGCAGGTCAAAAGGAGAGCTCGGGGAGGACGCACACTAAGGGTCTCCGTTCGATCCCGAGATACAAGATCAGACGATTCCCCCGAACTTCCGGCTCCCCTCTTTGGACGCATATGACGGCTCCACCGACCTAACGGACCACGTAGCTGCTTTCCGTGCCCAAATGGCGCTGTACGGAATCTCTGATGCTTTGATGTGCAGGGTGTTTCCCACGACTCTGAGGGGGCCAGCCCACACATGGTACAACGATATGAAGACCGGGACGATCGCCTCCTTTGATCAGCTCGTCGAAGACTTCAAGCTTAACTTCTTGGCCTACGCCCGGCCAAAGCCGTTCGTTGCACTGCTCCTCGGACTCAACCAAAGGGAGGACGAGCCCCTCTCCCATTTTGTGATTCGTTTTACAACATAAATCCGGGGGTTGCCGAACGCTCATCGCTCTCTATTAGTGCAGGCGTTTATGACGGGCCTGCGACCTTCCAGATTCTTCTGGTCCCTCGTGAAGCGACCCCCCACCACAGTGCCAGATATGCACCAGCGGGCTAACCAGTACATCGCGGCGGAGGCCTGGGTGGCCGTGAGGAGAAGGAGCGACTTTTGGCAGTGGGCTCCATAGAAGAAGTCAAGCACCCGCGGTGGCTATCCGATGTAGTCCTCATAAAAGGAATTTAGGCCCTGCCTCAGTCTCTTCCGAGCGAAGGCTCAGTATCTACCTACCGCCTCCCGACTCGCGGTCAGCTCCAGCCTAACCCCCTTTTGTATCTACACGGCTCGGCCGCAGCCCGCCTGCGCTGTGCTCCTCGGTCGCGTGTTGACCGAGATCACGCATGTGCGGCCTGTTCGCCTGCGCTGTGCTCCTCGGTCGCGTGTT